GGGAGGGGTCGAAAATCCTAGGAGAGGCAGGCAAGCAAGAAATTTAACAACAAATGTTCCGAAAATTCTAGATCTCAAATCGTCTTCCGAACAGATATTTTCCAAAAATTGTCGTTGGGTGCCCCTGACTAATCAGTAATCAGAGTTTAATACCATATCATCCATTGCAAAAACCCTGAAAGATAATGATAAGGCAGAAGAAGAAAACTGCTATTGCTTTGTCGGCATTGCTGATCACTCTCTCGGTGACTTCCATGGAGCAATAGAGAATCACAAGCAACACCTGCCTATGGCAATCTGGCACTAGAGCAATAGAGTACCACAAGCAACACATCAGCATTGCAAAGGAAGTCGGCGATAGGGCTGGAGAAGGAGGCGCCCATGGTAATCTTGGCAATGTTTATCAATGCCTCGACGATATATCCAACGAGAAAAAGAATACCTGAGTACTGCCAAGGAAATCGGTGACAGGGCACTAGAAGAACGTGCCTATGGCAATCTCGGCAATGCTTATCACTGGCTCGGAAATTTTCAACAAGCAATAGATTGCCAAAAGGAATGCCAGAGCTTTGCCAAGGATGTCAGGGACAGTACTTTGGAAGGGACTGCAGCCTCTGGTAATCTCAGCAATGCTTCATGCCTCTGTAACTTTCAACGAGCAACAGAGTTCCACAAGCAACACCTGAGTATTGCCAAGGAAGTCGGCGACAGGGCCGCGGAAGGTCATGTCTATGGCAACCTAGATAATGCTTATCGTTGCCTCTGTGACTTCAACCGAAAAATTATCCCACTCCGCAAGTCATGCAGCGCGGCACTCCGTAATTCCATTCTTTCCTTTACCCTCGAAGGCTGATTACTGAGGGATATGATGTTTTCCTGGACCAATCATAGCGCGAATCTCTGTCACTGAGGACGATATTTTTCAGCAACGGTTAACCAGTCAAATATATAACTTCAAAAACAACTTTTATTCAAGCATTATTCCTAGAAATATAAATGTTTACAACACCAAATAACAGTTAGTGTCCTACGTTCAGAACAGAAATATTGTACCTTGTTAAATAATAAACTGATAAAGCACGAAAAAATATCCAAGAATTAATAGAAGCTTGTAATGAATAAATTACAACTAATATAACTTATACAAATCGAGCGTTGTTCAAGTGGATAACTGATCTCTATAAGTTCTGAAACTTCTGAATGAGGACACAATAAACTACGGCTCATTCACTATTCCCCTAAAAATAAGTTACTAATGCAACCCTTACCCTACAATACTACTGTACAACTGTTATATTATTCCACACATTTACTTCTGACACAGAAAATATTTTTCTGTTACTATTAATTATTTAGCCTGAAAAAAAACAAAACAAAACAAAACAAAACAAAAAAAACAGCCGACATTTTGTGATGCCACCAAGAAACTAGCCTCCCACGCAAACGTTCTTAGGGGTTCGTCACGCGTTCCTACCCCAGGAATGATTGCGTGTCGAATCCGTAAGAACGACTGCGTGGGAGGCTACCAAGAAACGACCACAGAAAAACTATACTGAGGACGTACTACTAGACCTACTACCCACATCTACGTAGTGCTGCTGATAGTTCAGAATTTGCTTCATCCAATCAGAAGCACTAACCAGATATGGAATTTCTGTGCTCCTTTCTCAGACATCATTTCACAGGGAAAATAGTGATGGTGTCATTCAAACTCATTACAGTTGTTCTGAGCTTTCAGGATCAGATCCACATTTATTCTTAAGAGATTAACAATTTCCTACAACTCTACCCTTCACCACCCATACAAAATATAGTGCATAAATACTATTATCAGAGCTCAAGGCCTGGTTCCTGTATGGTCGATTTTTAGTGCCAATTCAGGATTAAAATGTTAATCAAAAATGGTATTGATCTTCCTTAAGAACTGTTCAGAAGATAAATGTGATGTTGCATTGTGAAAAGTGGGTTTTCTTTGCTATTTTTAGGCACAACAATGCCTTATATACCCTCCAGTTGAATGCTCCTACATTGTAGATGAAGAGAAATTATTGCTTACAATTTGGCTAGTGAGTTCGACGTTACCATATTCCCAGGAACCAGGTCCTGATGAACATGAACCCATTACCAGTAAACATGTAAAACAGAAATGATCACACTCAAACTGAAGAGAGTGTAGGTAAGGTGATGCTTGCACCCATCACAGGCCTTGGGATGTGCTTCGTTTCCACTTCTGTCTGGAACATGAGTATTATCTCTCTTCCTGGGCCCAGGGTTCTGTTCAGTGCGAGTGAAGCTATCCTGATTAAATAGTGTTGATTTCCAATCATCACTGCACTTTTCTATGTTACTGTTCAACAACCAACCAGTTTCAATTATCTCAGTCTTATTTTCACCGCAAATGTGACATTGACCCACCCATCCAGTCACAGATGCTCCATTTCTCCAGACAACAAAGAAAGAAAAAGTGCTGCTTGGGCCTCCTAGCTGTCCGATTCCGAACACTTTAGAATGGCTTGTTCCAGCTGCTCCAGTTTCCCGCTCAACAGCAGTGCGATACTCTCCTTCAATAGTATTATCATCTTTTTGGGTCAAAATCATCTCGGAGCCCAAATGATTATACCAAACACCATTTAAGCTGCAAGATTTATTTTTGACTTCAGGGTCCGAGGTCTTAACTGTTTTCTCAATAGTTACCGGGGTTTCTGGAATGGATGCATTTGGTTTGCGAGGACCATCACGCTGTTCGTATCTAGTGAAGGTGTCTCGACCAATCATAGTTGACTTCCACTTGTCTATGCAGGTATTTACCTTGGAACGCAACAGCCAAGAGGTAAGAAGCTTTTCATGCCCATCACTGCACACAAGACATTGACCAGTCCACACAGTTGTTGATGAACCATTCCTCCAGACTACAGAGAAAGCAAATGATGCCCCTTTGTAGTCATAAGGTGTTGCTCCTGTCAAAGCAAAATATTTCATCCAGTTTAAGTCACAACTGTCAACTGATCAATTACATCTACTTTAAAAGGCTTTTCGAAAGAAAGCAAAAGCAAAAAAGCCTCTTCAAATGCAGCAAATAAATGATTACAGTAAATCCTCTGTTTAGCCCCCCTTCTCAAATAAGCCTTCTCCCTCTAATGAGCCCCCTTGCCCAACCCACCCCTTTTCAGGGTTAAAAAAGTTAATAAGCCACCCTCTCTATTATGCACCCCCCTCCCCTCCCCTAATCATTCTTCACTAATAAAGCAAGGACTGTATTAATCAATCATGACTGTAAAACTTTGTATGAACTAATCCAGGATGGTTTATTTACCAACTGGAAGTTCGGATTAGATTCTGATCCTCAGGTGCATGACCTCCAACCTTCTTGCTTTTGATCTTTTCCACTTTGTATTCTAGTCCTTTAGGGAGAGCTGATACCATCCTCCTTTCTTGATTAAATACATGAAAGCCACCCCAACCCCTGTCTCTAGCCCCCCCCCCCTCCCCCCCACCCCAACACCCCTTCAAATGAGCTTGAAATAAATAAGCCACCCAGGAGGGGGCTTAACAGAGGATTTAAGGTATTTTTATTCATGGACCAACAGGTACAGGATACATGTAAGTGTCAAGCAAGCTCCTGTATGAAGCATGTGATTTACATGTAAAACATGCCCTAGCACCTGTGCCACCATAAACATTGTGTTCAGTAGGCAACATGTGATGTGAGTACTTTATCTAACCTTAAGCCAGATGCAGATTCTCCAAACTAATCTCAATACATTTCTTTAAAGAATTCGTTGAGAGAATTTGACAAAAGATCAAGGTGTTCTTTTGGTGATCATTTTAATAATTCTCATAAACCTTTCTCTTGACCATCTATTGATTTATTAGGAGAAAATTGATGTTGGTCATTGTTTAGATTTAAAGGTAGACTTCTCTTATGTATGCAATTATATAAACAGACACACTATAGGGAAAACAATAATCATGCCCTATAGGTTGGAAATGGGACATTGAAAGGGAGATCCATATCAAGATCTTTCGTGTTACATGTCACTTAGTATACACTGTAGTTATTTAAGTCTTTAAAAAAAACAGCACTTTGTCTCAGTTCACAGTCCAGGATTTGCAATGTAGATTACTGGTGGATGCAATGTATTGAACCTGTGACCTTCACGAAAACAGCGCGTGATTCCATGGTCCCTAGCACATGCCCTGAATTTTTCCCTGCCTTTTAAAGTACTCAACATTCTTAAAGAATTCAGATTTAAGCTTAAGTTTCAGAACATTCGGTTAACTACATAAAGATTATTAAACTGCATGACAAAACCTCGGTCAATTGAGGACTCAGGGTTGCAGTGGCTTGAATGAGGAAATATAAAGGTACTTACCAAAAAGGACAGAGTGACTAGGGCCCGCAGATCCATTGAATCTCTCCTGAGCAGTCCTATATTCGCCCCAGAGTTTTCCATTTTCATCATGCTCTATGTAAACCTCAGATCCCAGCTGATTATACCATTTGCCGTCTAGAGTCTCACAATTCTTGCCAGCTGCGATCGAGCCAAGGGTAAGAACTAAATAGAAGGCAAATTGGAGATAAATTAACGGCAAAGACGCCATGATCATTCTTCGTGCACCTCTCCAACTTTCCACGTGGGTTGGGTAATCTTGCGTGCAGGTGAAATTGTTTATCAGCTTAGCCTCGACTCCGGTCTATAGACGCGCTAGCCCTGGGAACGATGGTCCGTCCGCCATGTTAGTTATCCCACAAAGCACGCTGGGACGTTTCCTTCGATACGTACAATCAAAATGCCGGCTGGTAGCTCCATTTCTTCGCCTAAAGACGATCCCAGAAGACCAAACAAAATATTTCGATACAAGCCAGTACCTAACAAGCCTACAGATGATCCCACACCAGAATATATGAACCTTCTGGGGATGATATTTAGCATGTGCGGTCTTCTCATGAAGGTAAATCGATCTAGCAGAAACCCGTCTTGTGATCGCCAATTACACTCTGAATTCAAGATTTTTTTATTTTAAGAAAAAAGTTTAAAACAAATCATAGAATAAGTTTAGTTCTCGTAAATTCAAACTGCCTGTTTTTTGTTTACAAAAAAAGAGTTCTTATCCTATGATTTGCTTTAAATTTTTGCCTAAATTAGGAAAACTTTTTCTTAAGTTGAGAGATTCAGAGCAATCTCGAATTTAGAGTGTTCGCTTAACTGTTTTCCTTTCTCGGTTAAAATTGAACAGAAATACATGTAGTTAATGCAAAGATCACGCATGTCCTGTGTAGTACGTACACTTTATAAATACCAGGCCTTCTAGCACCAATGGGCAATTAGCCTGTGAACAGGCTCTCTGTTTTGGGAAAAGGGTGAAAAAATCGCGAGGAGAGAGAAGGAAAAGGGTGGGAGCCTGTAGAGTCTGGTGGGCATGATTTGCCCTCTGATGCAAGAACATTCATTGTGGCTAAAAAAGCTCATTATTCAAGCCCCAGAAGACGCCATATTAAAAATGAGAAGACCTGTTTACAAGCGATTATTTAAATTAAATCGCGTGCTACGTGCCAACTAAAAAAGGGATGTAAATCAAACCTGTCAACAGTCAGTGTTCTTGCCAATGGAAGCTTGCATCAGGATCTGATGCACAGCAGGTGCCGTGGAACGACGGTCCCAAATGTCTGTCTACAGGCTCTCACCCTTTCCCTTCCCACTCCTTGCGATTTTTTCACCCTTTTCCCAAACAGAAAGCCTGTTCACAGGCTAATGGGCAATTGCATTTAATATCCGCACCCCCCCCCCCCCCCCC